GGAAACCTGGCGGAAGGGCTTCGTACAAAGGAGCCCTAACAGTTCCACAGCTTTTTCAGTTAACTTGCTCCCTCTCACTGCTGTGAAGCATCCTTAAATCATCCTCAGAAGGTACATTTTTGGTTCAAAGCAAAGTGCTCTAGTATGACCATTTTGGTTTGACGGCTTCTCTTTTCCCATTTTTTTCTGCTCCTGAATCCCCCCACCTTGCCCCCAATTTCCTTTCAGTGAATTTTCTGTTTCCCAAAAAATCCCCTTCAAAACCCAGGATGTTCCCCCCAAAAGAAGAAGCCATTTAAAACGACAATGTTGAGTTTGACTTTCTGAAACAGGCTTCTTAATAAGGTGAACCGAAATGATTTTTTTTTTTTTCCTCTGCTGCTCTGCCAGGCCGGTCTGCGTCCCCCCTGCACAGGGCTGGGGTGGCACAAGGTGGGGCTTGGGGTCCCCCCTGCGTGCCCCATGCCCGGCCAGCACCTCCTGCCCGCACCCCGAGGGACGCCCGCCACGTCCCCTGTGAAAACAGCGGCAGCCGTGGCCTGGCACGGCCAGGGCAGCTGCTAAATGTCGGTCATCAGGAGACTCCCTAGGTTAAACTCTCAACACCCCCCTGCCCCAAAAAACAATTAGTATTTACACATACGGTAGGACCAGTGACTATAATCACAACCACATTTTCTGGAAACGTTACCCCGTTTTATCTTAACCGTCTGGGCAACCTTGTACAGTGAGAAACAGAAAAAAGTATTCCTTTGCTATTCTAAGACATTTGGGGAGTTTTCTCGAGCAGCCCTTCTGCCTCAGCAGGAGAGACCCCAAACTTGGAATTTAGCAAGGAAATAAGCTCCAGTCACACAAGGACTAGTGCACGCATTTCATTTTTCATGGTCTGGTGAAATCTGTTTTCATTTTGGCTGCCTGACAAAGGCTTTAAAAATGTATGTACGTACTTCATTTCTTCATGCTAATTTTTAATCTACTGTAACAATTTTTTATTCTATGGGAACAGTTTTGGCTAATGACCTTCCAGCCTTCTCTTGGCACTGCTGCTGTGGCTGTAGGTCGAGAGGAATTTCTCCTGCCGTCAGCGGTCTCCCCACGATCTTTTAGCTCTGGATGAGTGCGCAGAGAAAACTAGTTGGAATATCTCACACGGTGGGATGGTGAACATGGACCCAATGAGAAGCCTAATGTGCTGGAAGTTGGTATACACCAGCAGTTAATGCCTTATACTTCACGATTTTTGGCAGCTTAAAAAGGTTTGAATGTTGGGCAGGCTTGGAATTTAAGCAGAGGTATAAAAGTATTTGGGACTTGTACACAGAGGGATAAAACTCTGTAAGGAAAGGGTCCAGCCCTAACTTGGTGAATAACCACTTCAAAGTGGATATTACGAACAAGCAAAGGGAGTAGAAGGAATGGGAAAAAGGATTAATCAAAGTAAATTACATCTTAGAAGTTAGGAAGTGTAGGTATAAAGGGAAACGTGCCAGAACCAAAGCCGAGTCAGACCTCGCAAAGGCAATTAAAACAAATAGCAAAATGTTCTTCGGGCGTACATGCCAGGAGATGAAGGAGGGAAGAGGTAGGGGTGATGAAAGGGGGAGAGGCAGAACACAAATGAATGCGTAATATATAGTGGAAATATCCATAGAGGAAACGAATGCATGGAGATAGAAATTATCTCATCCAAGTGGAACAAATCATAAAGATCATAATGCGACAATAGTTTGGACTAGATGATCGTTACAGGACCCTTTCAAATGAAATATTCTAATTTCTGACCCAGACATCTGGCCTATCAAGATTATATCTGGCTGTGTAACAGCATCACTGCAGCAGCAACACAACACAATTTGAGAGCAGGAAAAATTGTTCCAGCATTTTAAAAGAGGAAAAATGATTGAACTCTGATCCAGATAAAATAAAAGACTTTTGGATAAATTTAGCAGGAAAGAATAATACCAGATATGATGGCAGATAGAAACAGGCTAAAATACAACATGCATTTACTGAAGGTGGGTGGTGCTAGACTAACCTGATGGCTTTGTAAGGTAACTAGTTTTCTAAACAGAGAAAAGCTAGTAGATCTATTCTGGCTGGTAATGAATAGATGTAGGCTGGGAATTAGAAGAAAATGTTTAACCATCAGCGGAATGAGGTCCTGGTAAATCTTTCCTACAGGCATGGAAAGGGCAACAAATGCATTATAAGGTAGCACTCTATCAGTTCATAAAAAGGATTGCATTTCCCCCTCCTAAGACAGCACATATCCCTAAATAAATCTTTTTAAGCATATACTGTTAATATTTTGGACTGTTGCTTCTTGATGCTAAAGCTCACTGCCAGAGGTTTGGAGCCTGTGTCTTCCTTTGGCCTTTTATCTGCTTTTAAAATGCCTGTTCTTTTCTGCTGTTCTTAATGAGCAATGAGAGAGCGATGCTGCTTGCACTCGCACATTCCTGCACCCACTGCCTCCCACCACAGCCTGATCCAAAATGCTGGGAACTTTCCAGTTACTACCATGGCATTTGGATCACACTTCTGGAGGAAAACAACAATACTCTGTATTTCAGAAGAACATTCTATTTTGAGGTGAATAGCTAAGCAATTCTTTTTTTTTTAAACGGGAAGATAATCACAGCCGTATTTCAAAAGCCAGCTTTTAAGCTGTGTTTGCAAACTCCTTTCTCGCAGCCCAGTCCCTGTATCACCACTGTTTCGATACCCCGGCTAAGTCAAGGGCAAACAGACCTTATGCTTCAGTGATCAGATGAAGGTCAATCTCCACGACATTTTATCTTGTGTAATTGAGTAGATACACGGAGGAGGTGAAATATTGCGGTCTTTTGAAGCCTGAACAATTGGCTTGTGCCAAAGGTAGGATTAATGGACCATCAAGTGCATTTTGCCCTGGAAAATCCCACCATCTTTTTGCAGCTGGGACACTTGGCTGCCAGAAGAGTTCTTCTGCAGGAAAGTTTCTAAAGGAAAAATCAGTCAAGTGGCTGGGTTAGCTCTGTCATTGCTAGAGGAGCATTTTTCTGCATGGCAATTGAGGGGCTTTTGGAGCAACAGACCATATTCTTGCCTTTATCCTGTAGCAGAAGATTTTCAGGCTTCAGGGCTGTCAAGCTCGCAGTTTCCAGAGTGTGTTAAAACACTGAACCAGGATTTACTTGGCCAGGGAATCGGGAGTTTCCCCAGTTCTGGCAGTGGGTGTGATGCTGCCAGCCTCTCTGTAGGTGGTGCTGCAAGGCAGTGAGAGGTGACTACGGCTCGCCCATGCTGTTTTTAAAATTCAATCTCTCGGTTTCTTAACCAGCTCTTGGTATTCCAGCTTTCTTGAAAGAAAATTAGACCTAGTTGCCCATAATTTCTTGATTTTGATGAGCTATAATCTGAACGCACCCACTGGAAATATAAACAGAGAACTGTTATTTTCTCTGGGTTCAAACTGGTGGCATTATGTACTCTTGCTGGAAAACCACAGTCGAACAAACTCTCTTTTCACATTGATCTAACTTTACCAGAATTTTAACAGCAGATTGTAGAATCTAATGAATTAGCGAAGAAAATCTGAAAAAGCGTAATAAATTGGTCATGCAGAGACCCTAAGTAATGGATGTTTAAATTACAGAGATTCACATCTCTAACTGGGCTCCGTCCTCTTGTGCTCTACGCTCAAATGTTGCCTTGAGTTCAGCTGCTCTTCTGCACGCTGGAAAATGGTAGAATGGATTCTGCAAATGTGTCTGTACTGCTCCCCTGCTACTGTAATGCAATCAGTCCAGGTGGAATAAAGTTTTACTTCAAGCTGGGTAGGCAGTGACGGCTGCTGTGTCTGCTTGGAGGGGTGTGAGGAATTTTTTAATCAAAATTCAGCTGCAAAAATGTAGTGTTTACAGGCAGACATACTTCACATACGTAATTAGACGGGCAGCCTTGTTCAAAGGCAGATGTAAGAGTAGCAGTCTATGAGCTCGTTCCCCAGTCTCATGACAAGCTAATAATGCCTATGGTACTTAAACAATGGAACAAGTTTGTCATCTAATATTGTGCGAAATTCCTTTCCTCAGCTGGGCACTGTATTAAATCTTCTGTGTCACCATGGTGCTAGGTCACCTCTGCAGCAAAGATAAAATATTGTTCATTGTAGGCATTTATATGTCTACTCATCCTAATTATCTCTCCAGTAGTCATGTGAAGATATTCTGTATTTAAATTGATGTATCAAATGTAAAAATTTGTCGCTGGTCTCTTTCTTGTAAGATATATATACAAAGATTTTAGCTCAAGATGGGATGCCTAGCTGTGATGGATATATGGTTCAGGTGAGCAAAATTCTTGGAGCTGGTTGTACAGCAGCAGACAGATGTTCGTCCACAGAAATAGCAGTGTGAATTCAAGATGTTTCTGTCCCCTAGCTGTTTGCTAGTGACCATAGCAATGCTGTTACCCTGCAATTTAGCTAGCACAGTACGCTCCGTGAGTGCTT